GCGGATCAAACTCTGAACGTCTGCGACTCTCAGACTTGCTGCCGCTGCTGCCCTCCGCAGAGCCTTGCCATTCCTTGGGTTGTGTGGTGATCGTGCAGATGGTATTGTTGCCGCTCATTCTAGAGGGCGGCTTTGATTTCTCATAGCGGCTGCTGGTGTCGCGCCTAAATCGATCTTGTCTATAGCGATCGGTGCTGAGCACGGAAGAGGCATTGTTACTGTCCCCTAGAGCAGTGGCCACGTGTTGCTGGCGATCTGCCTCGCGCTCGTGCTCCTTCATCTGCTCGATGCGTTCACGTTTGGGTATACGGAAGATTTCGGGCAGTCCATTCCATTTTTGTAGCAGCGCTGCAATGCGTTGACGCACCGATTCCTCCTCATCAGATTGTGATTCTGCTGCTGCCTCCGCTGGCTGCGCCAACTGGTTGCCCCATAGCTCTACGCTCTGGTAGATGCGACTATCATTCAGCATCGTCCTGTTGGGTATGGGCAGAGATTCAAGTGACTCGAGCAGCGCCAGACGCAGCTGCTTATCGCTGCCGCTCTCGCTGATCCATGCGTGCAGCAGGCGCAGCCCGTGATAGTCAAGGAAGAGACGACGGCATGGCAGCTCGCCACGCGTTAGCACGCCCAGCAGCTGAAGGCGACTCTGCAGTAACTTGGCACGCACCATGCAACGCGATAGGCGCAATGTGTCCAGCTGATTCTTGAGTCCGCTGCGACTTAGCAGCGTCAACTGCTCGAGTACGTCTGTGTCCTCGAGCTGATCGAGCTTACGGGCTGCCGACTTCTCGCCTCCAACGCCGCCGGAAGGGCGCAGCCAGCGGCCCGCTTTGTATTCACGATCCTTGGCCTTGGGCTGCTCTTTGCGCTGCTTACGTGCCGTTGGCAGCTTAAGTTGCTTCTTAGATTTACTTTTGGGTGTTTTGGTCTTCGCCTCCTGCTCTGGGCGTAGCTCCTCTACCAGTGACTCGGGCTCACTTTCGGTCTCCGAATCGAGCTGCTCGCCCTCATCAGACTCCGGCTCGTTCCCAATCCAGCCACGACAGTTGGCCGACTCGCAATAGCAACGCTGCGCATCGCGCCCATAGCGCTGATACTGATAATCGAATGTGATTTCCTCGCCAGGCATGATGGTCTTCACACTAAAGAAGCCAATGCGCAGCTCTCCATTCACTGTCCACTTTTGTGTCTCCGCATTCGGGTCGCAGCTGTGATTGATGTAGCGCGAGATGTTGCCCTTCGTGGTCGCATCGATGATCGCCTCGCCACGCAGCGCCATGAAGTAGTAGTGGCGGTTGCGATCCTCCGAGTAGAGATGCTGGCGACGCTCGAACTCCTCGCTGTCGATCACCTCGCCCACATACTCCATGATGAACTCCCCAGGCTGAATTTGCAGCTCGGCTGTGATACCGCAGCCCTTCTTCTCCGTGCGAAAGACGCGACAGGGCCAGCCCTGATGCTGCTGGAATCGCTTATTGGTGCAGCGGTCACCGTAACTACACAGTGGACCACACTCGATCATGAGCATGCGATTAATGCAGCCATCGCCGCAGCGCATCCCTTGTCCCTCCTCGTCGCCGGTGACAAAGCAATCGCATTGCATTTCCGCGTTCTCCTTGCTCACCTGGCGTGCACAGCGATAGTAATTGTCACGAAGTATTTGGAACGTGTTTAGGCCCTCCTGGCGCAGGAACTGCTCATTGATGGCTTCTATGTTGGCAAGCTCACTTAGCTGCTGCTCCATGCTAATGGTGGGCGTTTGGCTGCTGCTACCACGACCTAAACTCGATTTGGCTCCTTGCGGCTTCTGCTTGATGCGATGCGAGCGGCGCACACCCGCTGACAGATCATCTGTGCTGCCAACCGGTGAAGGAGCTGGCGTGTTAACAGGCGTTTCCAAATTAGCCACACGCTGCGCTAACTCATCTTCAGTGGCCTCCTCTTGTGGCTGCTGGTCTGGCTGCTGCTGCTGTTCCTCCTCTACTTTGTAGTCGCGCTCGAGCAATTTGACGCCATCCTCTATGAACTTGGCTATGTCGTGTAGCGGATTGGATGCCTCTAGCTCAGAAGTGGGCGTCGGCAAGCTGCGACTCGGCAAATCGCCAGCTTTTGTCGAGGAGCTCGAACTAGAATCCATCGAATCCTGGCTGCTTGGCAGCTGCTTTGGTTTTGTTGACTTGCGCGTTGGCTTTTTCTGAGCTGACTTCTTTTTGTTGCTGCTGCTGGCGCTTTGCTTGGGTTCTGACTCCGTAGCTCGCTCTGGACTCAACGTAGGCTTGAAAGGGTGCACGGAGTTACGGCGTTTATTGCTCAACGGCAATTTCACGTCCTCGTGACGCTCCTCGGAAATGGTATTACGGCGGCTGCTTTCCTTTGATGTTTGCTTTTTCCCACGAGACTGAGGCGTGGCACGTTCCTGCAGCTGTTCGGTTGATTGCTTTTTGGTGGCCAGCTTCGACTTCTTTCTGGCCTTCTCTTCGTGACGCATCTGTTCGTTTGCTTTATCCAAGACCTTAAAGAGTGCATCACACTCTACGAACGCAGCGTAGGAGGCTGACGACTTCTCTAACTTGGCGCCTTCATTTGCTTTCCCTTTCTCACTATCTATTGGTTTTGTGTCCACCGATTCTGAGTTGTGCTCTTCTGGAGCGGATTTGGTTGATTTAAGCTTTGAATCTAACTCTGTCTCTTCGCATTTAACTGCATCTGAGTGCTGCTGCAGTTGCTTTGCAGCCAAATCAGTCTTTTCAAGCGTCGCTGCTGATGTTTCATTCGTGTCCAAGCTTGGTTGCTTCTTAATAGCTTCCTTCTTCGCTTCGACCTCCTGTACTGGTTCTGTTACAGAGTTGGCATTTAAAAGTTTTTCCATTGTCATCGGAAGCTTTAACTCAATGCCTGTCGCTTTTGCAGCACGCCTCAGAGATTCCAATTCGAAGTGGGCATCTTTCATCTTCTCGACAGGTTCTTTTGCAAAAGTCGGAGTTGCACTCTGCTTTAACTGTTCCGATTGTTTTACAGCTTCATGTGGTTCATCGTTGTTCTCTTGTATGACTGAAGAGACCTCCTTGGTCATTTTGATTTCCTTTTGCAACTCTTTTTTAATCGTAATCTTATCTTCGTTATCTATGGTGGCTGATGAGCTCGATGAGTAGATCTCCTTCATGTTTACTTCCTTTGGCAGCTCTTTCTTCACCTTTGCCTTATCTACGTTGTTTATCATGGATGAAGAGTTTGGTAACGAAGCCTCATTCTTTATGATGACTTTCTTTTGCAGGTCATCCATAGCTGCTGGCAATTCCTGCTCCTTCTTTACCGGCTGTACTTCAATTTTAACTTTAGTTTCTAAATTAGAGGATTTTATAGCTGCTTCAGAGGTTAGCTTAGTCTCCTTTTCAACGCTTTGTACCGGAGTCTCATTTTTAATTAAACCTTGATTTGGCAGTTCTTTTGCTACTTCAATATTTGATTTCTTTTCTGGCTTCTCGTCTTGAGATTCTTGGTCTCCTTCATCCCTTTCATCCTCAGTAAACCAAAGCTCTGCCGGCTCACTTAACACTTCAGCCAAGAGTTCTGATTCCTTGTCATCAATATTATCTTCACCTGGTATTTCCTCCACAATACTAATCTGCTGTGGCATTTCTGTTTCCTTGTTTTCATTTTCCTTAGGAAAAATTAACTTAAAGTTACGAGTCTCTTCAGCTGTAATTTGGATCACGTCATTTGCTGCTTCTTCTTCAGCTTCCATCTTCGCCGTTTCTATGTCCACAAATATAATTTGCGAATCTGAATCCTCATCGGATGCCACGGATATAATATCAGTCTCTATCACTTCAATTGTGTCATCCAAAGCATCGTTTTCCTCAGGCACTGCTTCAACATTCGTTTCATCATCAACAATGATTGAGAAACTCTTCAGAGACTCATCCGAGTCAGGCGATTCCCTTTTTAAAGTAAGAGCTTGTTCCTTGGCGCTCGGCAAGACTTTGGTAGAATCTATGCTCACTTTGGAGCAATCAACTGCAGTTGCATTATCTGTGATCTGTGATTTGCGCGGACGTCCACGTTTACGTATCACCTGCTGTTGCTGTTGCTGCTGTGATTGCTGTGGCTGCTGTTGCTGATTGACAGTGGGCGTCTTATCACTGCTCACCTGGGCAACAATCAAGCTGGGCGTTGGCTTTGGCTTGGTAAACATGTCCAGCGGAAGCAAAGGCGAAATCACAGGCAGAGGCGGTCGTGGTGTAAATAAGCGATTGACCTCGATTGCTGGTTTTGCCACAGTAGCAGAGCTCGTTGCTAATTGTGTTGTGGATGCTGTTGTTGTTGTTGGTGCATTGGAATCAATTCGTGCCTCGATTTGTATTTTGTGAGTTTTGCGACTCTTGTTGAGTACATCCAGCACATCGAACTTTACGATTTTCTTGCGCGTGCTTCGCCGACAATTTGTTGGCGATGACGACGAAGTGCGCTCCTCGGCTGGCGGTTCCATCTCTTCAGTCAATTCAGACTCTTGTGCGTTGGCCTTGGGCGGACGGCCGAGACGTTTGCGGGGAGCCGGCGGCTTAACAATTTCGTCTCCTGTTGATTTATCCATTTGTTATAGTCTGCTTTCAATCAATATTCACTTATCGACAAACTGCATATATATTACATGCAATTCGAGTAATATTTACTTCCTTTTGAAACAAAAATTAAAAAAAAAAGAAATAACACCTAACTGTAATGCACTTCTAGACGCATACTCACATTTTTGCAGAAATGTCGAATTTTCAGAATTTGTTTATAGCTGTGAAACGTGCATGTGCCCGTTTATCAATAACAGAATAAACTAAAAAATACCAAACAATATTGGTTGTCAGAACAACAGCTGATGAACATAATCTACTGGATGAGGAACATCTGATTCGAAAAATACTAAATCCTACGTTTGCCCATTTCCTTTTGCCGGTCGCTTTTCTGCTATAGACACTAAGTTGAGGTAAATATATAACGAAATGTTTTCTGTAAATACTTTACTTAAAATTAATCAATTGCAGAATGCTTGCTAGCACAAGGCATAAAATGTACATAAGTTCTTAAATCAACTTAAAATAATTAGCCTACACACATGCAAATATATGGTACATACTCTATACTAATGCTAGAGCTCGAAGTCTGTGACGTCCGCTGGACTTACGAATGCCTTTTCAGTTTCACTTAAAAGTCCTATAGCTCTATAGTTTTCATTTAACATTGCATATTCCTGTAGAGCCTTTAGGCATTGCATCGCATCTCTGTGATTGCTTATCACGATAGTATTTGCTTGGGGAGTCTCGACAGACAGTTCTGGTTTCTCCTCTTCTATTTGTTCTGTCTCTTTTATATATTCCGATTCCTCATCTATTTCAATTTTAACTACAAGCTTCTCTTCTTGCGATATAGGAAGCTCTTCAGTCTCTGGTTTCGTCTCTTCCAAAGTTAAGGTATCATCATCTGAATATTTCGCTTGCTCCACTTTTACAATTTGTGGAACAACAAGCTTCTGTTCCTCCTCAGTAATGCGCTTTTTTACATGAGCCTTCAAACATTTCATTGTCCTGCCATGATTGTCGATGATAATTTGCTTGGCTGGCTTGTCTTCACCATTTACAGTCTCTTCGTTATCCAAAATTTTTCGCTTCTATATAATATTTAAATCTTTATTATTTAATTTTTTATGGATTGTGTTTTACTTACTGGTGCTTCAGAATTCCGAGCAGTCTGAGTGTCAACACCGGTTTCCTAAGATATTTTAGAATTCATTTCTAACAAATAATAAGCAACTTTTTACTTACTTTCGTCTCATAATTATGGAATAGTTCGAGCAGCTTTGAATTTTTTGCTTGCTGTGGAATTTGCTTTGTAACAAATTTCTTTAAGATATAAAAAAAATAATTAGGTACGTAGAATATCCTATTAAGGGCCTATCCTTACCAGTTTTTTTTTAGATTCCAATCTTTTCAACTTTGATCTGTGACTGTGCAGTATGCTCCGTATTCTATGTTGTTCTTTCACCATATCACAGACCTTATTTAAGTAAATATCTCGCGATTTTATATTCGATTCGGTTCTGATTAGCTGCCGCAAATTGCCAAGTTTTTCATTTGTGCTCCTCAAATCGTCCTCTATTTTGGATATAATGTTTTGCAACCTAATAATATCGCCGCGAGGCGCTGCAGGAACTATGTGTAAAGTTGCATTCGACATTATCTTCACACTTTTGAGTATTGATGTATAAATTGCAAGTTATATGATAATCTATAGTGCTTCCAATGCTTCTTCACACAGTCAATACATTATCGATAAGATGCTGGCGTTGCCAACTCGTTTAAGCGATACACATATCGATTGTATGATGCCGGCGTTGCCGTACAGCTACTTTTTACCTCTGCAATCGAGAGATACCTGCCTGTACCAAATAAATTAAATTATTATTAATTATTATTATAAGTTATAAAATAGATATAATAATTTACTTAATGGCTTATGTGAGAAAATCTATTACTCGTTTCGATGCAAGCTAAACGCGGCTTAAAATTTGTGTATTTAGGTATTAAAAGATCGATTTTGAATACTGAAACTACCGTTATTTTATTAAGATTTTTTGAATGATTGTAATTATTTTAAATTTTAATATTAACATAAATAGAAATTTATTAAATTTATTTATTATTAAATATTTATTTATATTTTACCTGTCGTCAGAAACGGCCACAAAGTATGCAACAAAATATTTGTTTGTTTCGTTCAGTTAGAATGTTCGTTCAGTTCAACACTTATGCGCAGGCAAACTCACAGAGACGGCTGTCGCTTTGCCGTTAGGCGAAGTTGGCTAAAGTGGCGCCATCTAGGGGATGATTAGAAGAAACAATTGAGCTGGCCTTCAGCCAATGAAATATTTGAATATGAATTGCTGTTAATTGGATGCTACTATATTAAATGTCCAGATATGGTCTATGTGAATGGGTACACAAAATTTTCCAAGTCAAAGTTCAATGAAGCATAGCAAGTGAAAATACTGAATTTAATTTCCGCTGTTTAGCATAAAAAAATTAACATATTACCTGAATATTTGTTAAGCACCTGCGTACACAATGTGTGAAAATTGGTTAGAGGATGAGCACACATTTTTTGGCCAATCTAGCGCAGTTCCGTTTTCGAGTTGACCGAAAAACAAGCGTAAAACAATTCAAAAGTCAGTCAACCCCTCGACAGTTGCATTTGCACCTCGGTTAGGAAGCGAGTGCAGCAGAGCGTAAGCAGAGCGAAGGTGTTGCCGCCGGCTGCGTGGGGGTTGTGACTGCCAACTGGACTGCCAATTGGTCATGTTGACGGACTCGGCCAGGGCAAACCAAGCCAAACCAAACCAAACCAAAAGCCGAGTAATTGTTGCGCAACAAGCGAACCTCCAGTTACGCCAGAGATTTTCCCAGGGCCAGAGCAATAGGGGCAGCCGTCCATAAAATGTGGGAAAACGAGTGCAGCGCACACATTCAACTGCAAAAGAAGCACACAAATTATGATTGACAGAGCAAACAAACCTTTTGGCCAATGACCAACGGCTTCATTATGCTCAGCTCCCACAATAACGTTTTTTCTTCTCCTTCTTCTACTCTTTTGGAAATTGCATTTCGTGCTGGTAGATTTCAAAGCGTCTCGTTTCATACCCCAGACAAGATCGGACAACAAAAAGCAACAGCAACAACTACAACAACAACAAAGTTCAATGCACGAGGGTCACGACTTGGTTTGAAGCTGGGCGCCCATAAATCGGCAGGCCTCGAAATTGACGTGTTTTGGCTGCCGTTGCCATTTTGGCTCACCGATTGCGACTCCAGCTACAATCCGACTCGAACTCGAACTGCAGCTCCTCCTCCTCGAGTTGTCAATCAATTTCTATGCGGAAACGTTTGCGCAGCGGCATGATGAATGTTATTGGCCTGGGCTAGAATGAAATTGCTTGGCCATTTGCTATTTGTCAAATTTTCATTAGTCGGCCATAAATTGAATTGGTCGCGCAACCAATAAATTATGCTGCACTGATTCTCACGAGCTCCAGCTCGACTAAAAAACTTTCTAGTTGTTCACACCAGTTGCCAGTTGCCCGTTGCCCGTTGCCCGTTGCCCGTTGCCTGTTACCCGTTGCCTGTTGCCTGTTGCCAGCTGCTTGCCAATTGCCACCTGCGCCTCAAAGCTAGCTGCAGCTGCGGCTGTTTGACTAAAAGCGAATTCCAGTTGCAAACCCATTTTTGGCACGACCCGGCCAGGTAAGATCGCACCATTTTGGGAAGAGGCTACAGCTAAAGGCAAGCTCCTGCCACAGCGAAGCATTGATTTGCAATTGCCTGGAACGCACACGTGGTGTCTATAACACAGGTGTGTTTGTGTGTGTGTGTGTGATCGTGATTGTCAGTATTGGCATCCAGCTGTGAGAACGCACCCACTTGGCCAACACACACACACACACGCACACAGACAGCCGGAGACAGAGCTATACACACACCCACTAGCGAGGCCAAGCGAAGCAGAGATCGTGTTGGCTATCGCATTGAGCTGAGGCTTTACTGTATGGCAAGCAAACAACTGTTGATTGATTAATCATTGCTGGTAATTTGATTTTGTGCCTTTTTGGAGTTACCGTTACGCTCACTACTGTCCCTCCCTCCCTCCTGCTCAGCTTAAGCCCAAGCTCAGCTCTAGACAAGCCCCTTTTCAGCGATTTGATTGATTGTTTCATTGCATTTGAGCTTTTTGCCATATTCACCTGGGCCACTCCCCCTACCCTCCTAAACATGGTCATACATGTGTCGTGTAACAGTCCGTCATAATGTGTCCACCATGCTCACTTATGCATTTTTGCCATGTCAGCTTAGCTGTCAAAATCCTTGAGCCCAAACTTCAGCTTCAACTCCAACTCCAACTTCAACTTCAATTCGTATCGAGCCACATGGCTGGCACACTTCTGTTGCAGACTGATTAAAATCGGATGGCAGCCAACGTTGACAGTTTTTGTCAGCCGATTGGCGAGGAGTAGAGTGCTATATGCTAATCGCAAATTGTGCCCCTATAATTTCATATGCAATTGTTCACAATATGCTGTATGAATAATTATCAGGTCTAGACTACTGTTAACTGATCTTAATTGCAGGGTCTGATCTAATGTATTCATGACGTGCAGATCGGCTTGCACTTTGTCTCCTCTTGCAATACTCATTTGATCCAAATCTAGTCTAGACAGCTACCGATCTACCAATTCTTTGATCTATTGATCATAAACTTCGATTGAATGCTTTCAATATAAACCGCTCTATTAATCTTTCAGCTTATCTGTAAGCTTAAGACTTGACCGATAAAGTGAGGTTACAATATTTGATCAGTCACCGATCAAGCCATTCTTTATGATCATAAACCTCAAGTGAGTTCCGTACTATTAATCTTTTAGCTTAGCAATAAATATAAGACTTGATCGCTACAATATCTGATCAGTCCACGATCGAGCAAGTCTTTAGCTAACGATCAATATATGCTACGCGGACAATTATTTAGTTTCTCTCGACTATTTCATAATCTAAACAGTTATTGATCAAGCATGATCGTAAGAACGCCATCGTTAGATAAGTGGGTGTCCACGTGTTGGCACTTGTTGTGCGTTGTTGCTTGAATTTGGCATGTGACCGAAAGCAGTGCTCGTTCTTGTTGTAGTTGTTGTTGTTGTTGTTGCTGGCCGGGAGCCAACTGGAGGCAGTAAATCATTTGCCAGCGTCAACAACTTGTCAGCAGGCCAAACCAAGCCAACCCAAGCCAAGCCGAGCTAAGCAAAAGCCATTGACTCGCAACGAGAGCTTGGAGAGGTTTTCGCTGTTGACTGTCCGACGATCGACAATCGACAATCCACATTCGACATTCGACGATCGTCGATCGGTAGTCGACTGCAGTTTTGGTCCAGTCATGGCTCATGTTGCATATAAATGGTGCTTAATGAGCTCGTGCCAAATAGAATTGTCAGGCGCCTAGGTAACACTGCCCTCCCCTCCCCGGCACCCCTCCTGCTGACCCGCTGTCTGGGCAGATAGCTTGTTCGTGTTGCGCTCAAATTGCTGTTAGAATTCCACAATTTTATGGCTGGGCATTTGATTTGATCACGATTTTTGCAGAGTCTGGGCCATATGTAAACCAAATATGGTCGACTGACGCTTGGGGCGCGGCAGGTGCCCAGGCCCGGTTGCCTGCTTATGGATGGAACGACGCTTTCCCACGCGCATTGAGCTAACCACAATAAAAAAGGAGAAACATACGAGAGGAAAAGAGGAAAAATGTGGAGTCCTATTGTTTATTTTTGGGGTGCAATCTGCCATCTTGGCAGCCAGAGAGTAGAGTCGAGTAGAGCGCACTAACAAGCTGCGTTTCGCCTTTATTATTTTTAATTGGACTGATTTCGAGCTATAGATACATTTGTATCCAGTGACATATGCAGCGACTGCCATTCCAGCCAATCATCCTAGGCCATCATCAATCCCAGCCAAGACTGTACTCCCAGCTGCTGCTACAGCGGCTGCCGCGGCGGCTGCTACTGCTGCCGCCTCTTGACCAGCTACGGACTTGCGTTTTGTTGCAGCTGTGTCCAAGTCCAAGTCGAAGGGTTGCCTCCAGGGTTGCTGCTCAAACATTCCCACGATGCTGACAGCAGAATGAAAACCAAACCAAACCAACACACACACACACAAAAAAAAAATAGAAATCAAATCAGCTGCAGTTTTTTCGCGCAGTTTTTCTGCGTCCTTGGCGCCTGCCCTTGATCGAGGGTTGCGCCTCGTTTAGGGGTTGGGCTGCATGCCCGTCGATGACACGCTGTGACATTGTCCGTCATCGTCAATATTTGCATTACTGTGAACAAAAATGTTGTTCTAATGATGAGGGCAACTCAACGCCTTCTTTGGCCAAACCATTTGACTTGAGCACAGTCACAAAAGACTTTCTACTGTCTGGGCAACGCCTCGAAAGGTTGCGTAAATCTAGATGTGTAAATATGTATATAAATGAATGCATATATATTTATATATGCCCGCATTTATCTAATTAATGAATGATTGATGTATATTTTAAGCCTGCACACAAAGCGCAAAGCTATGTTTTCTGTTAATGCATTTTATATGCTTCTGCTTAACAGTCATACTAAAAGCTTAATAACAGAGCTGTAAATAACAGACGCTTAGCATATTGCTGATTTGAAGCATTTCAAATCTGCTAAAAGTCTAATTAGAGTTAACAGCAGCTTTTAATAACAGCAGCTTAAAACTTTAT